TGTGATTAGAAAGAGGACTCTGTACTTGACGAAAGAGGCTATCACTTTCAAGGCCATCTCTGCCGATGACAAGATAATAAGAGGCAGCCCCAGCCAAACTTGTCATCTTCATGGAACAGAAAAAACAGGTAGCAGTTTATGGTTTTGCTCACAGCAATAGTAATTGGTGGCATCCACAGGGGCAGAGTTGGTGACTGAAATTCCACTTGGAGGATCTGCCTTAGCCTGAGTCTTGTGAGATCAGTGAAGGCCCAGCACTGCTTCCACACTGGCTAATGGATTCGGATAATGGATTTGGGCTTCCTCAGTGGAATCTGTTTTAGCATTATGGAGGCTAAAAAATCAATTTAGTAGGTTGTGGGGTTTTTGTTTGGTTGGTTTTGTTTGTTTATTTTTGCTATGATTACACATACCTTTGAAATTCACAGAATAGTTAAGGTTGGAAGGGACCTCTAGAGATCATCGAGTCCAACCCCACCCTGCTCAAGCAGGGACACCTAGAGCATGTTCTCCTAAATACCAGTGCTCACCTAGAGCATTGCTGCTAGAGCAAATTCTCCACTGTTTCCTATTACAGTCTATTTCTTGCAGTGTTTTTGCTGTGATACACACAGTGCTATATTTGGTATAAACTGGGCAACAGAATATGGGGTGGACTCCAAACCTCTGATTAAACAGCCCCCAATTTTATAAAAAAATTGAACATCAGTATCTTTGAGATTGTTTCCCTCTGTTAAGTTTGCATGAAATCAATCAGTAAATTCAAAAGCCTTAAGGCAGGAGAGAGGTCTGAGCCTAGCATTCCTAGAAAACCATGTAGGAGATCRGACAATTAAAACTCTGGCTTTACAACAACAAGAATATGATATATTTTAACTCCACATACTGTAYGCACAGCAGCAATTCTTTTAGCATTCCTAATAAAGTATGCAATGTTACTTTCCTGCAGTATCTCAGAACAAATCGGGKTTTTTTTTAATCAGTTAGAGATGGAGTGTATAAGAGAGATTTTTACTACTGTCTATACAGGGAAATATGTTTCCTAGCAGATGATGTCTGCATTTCAGGATTGGACACTGCAATGCTGAGCTGTACCTACAAGTGAAGTTTCTAGGACAAAAGAGTGCTTAYGAAACTGTGGAGATAAAAACTAAGCAGCACTTAAAAAAACAAACAAGCAAACAATCAAAAAAACCCTGCATTTTGACTTGTTAAGTGCTTTTCTTTTTAAGGACTCAACTTTAGAAACTCTTATATGTAATCCTGGAGCCTGCTGTTGTTGACACTAGCCTTCTTACCGGTACCAGTGTGACTGAAAGGTGCAACTGCTGTATAGGTGGACTGCTGCTCTCTCTTCAGATCCTATGGTTATGGATCTTAAGAGCAAATGGTTATTTGCTGATGCATGGGCCCTATTTAAGGACTATATTTTACCCTTTGTATAAAGCCCTGCATAGCAGATTGGCTAAAGTCTTCCCAGACCCACTCTTTTGGCCACCTTCTGCTCCCCTGCTATGGCTTGCAGCCTCATCCCAGTCCACACAGAAATGCAGTCCAAGTCCTGGCTGTGTCTGTGGGGAATTTCCACAAAGACATGTTGCTGACTCCTTTTGTAATGGTCTGACGTGGAGAGGAGATTAGAGGCATTAATGCCTAAAACACCATCAGCCCCCAGTTACGACGTACCATTAGCCTCTGAATATAACAAATATAACAAGTAGGGACTGCCAAAGACACAACCTGGTAATCTAGATCTTGTTGGCACTTATACTCTGGCTCCGGAAGATTTCTTTGACACGGGAACATTGCTGTGTCTGACTGGTCTGATACACAGGTGTTGTACATGTCTCAGTATGGTATCAGTGCTGCACTGGAGGCAGCTGGCAAARGCTCTAGGCTCAAACTGCCCCTTTCCTACACCGTGGGGCTACTCTGCTGTKAGCCATGGTGGGCCTGTGCAACCTTTCTTGAGCTCTTCCATAGATCTGAGCTCAATACAGCCACTCAAATGGGCTCCCAGGCYTCTGGTTGATTGCATCCTTTTATGTAATGTAGAATATGAAATTACAGTAGCTGAAGCTGTAGCCAAATACATAACACAAATACATAGCACCAGTTACTTGCTTTTGAGGGTGTTTTGAGGGAAATATAATATCCGTAAAACYTGTATGGTAGATCTCATTTCTTGGCAAACTTTTCAGTTGCTCATTGCAAACAAAAGTCCCACTGTAGCACCAACAGGAATGGAAAGAATGTTCAGCTTCTTTTCCTCTTGCACAAACACAGTTTGAAGGACGGGAGCAATAGCTCAAGGGTAAGAAAGGTTTTGCAGCTTGGCACCTACATGTTTCAGTAGTAACAAAGCAATATTGATTTAGCTAGATTTGTGGTCACTGTACATAGGAATTCCAGCTGGGAATAATCATTGCTGGGCACAGATGGAAGGCTTCATATTTATTCTAAAACATACTGGGCTCCCAACTTCTACTTGACTCATTTGTTAAAAAGAATTTTTGGAAGGGAACTTGGGCTACAGTGTGCCAATCAGAGAATGGCTGTTGGCACTAAGGACAGCCTGTTGATTCAGGCAGAAATGGTGATTAACACTGTGTTAAACTTTCCCTAAAGTGCCTGTCATCTAGTTTGCTAAGAATCAGAAACAAAGTTGAAATAAGCTGTAAGGAGCCATCAGAGCAGTCTGATATTGCTCTGGAGAAATGGTTTTCATTAGCTATATGATTAACATAAGATAGCATGACTTYTTGTAGTTCTTTCTTCCTGTCTGTGCTGGGAACAAAGTATGGGATTTTGGAGCTAGGAACTGTGTGGCAGGTTGGCCATGGTAAGAATACAGGGTCATGTGTGTGTTTCTAAAGGCAGGCAGCTATATGGCTGTTGTTACCTATTAGCTAAATACTACCTATCTTGCATCTTTTTTCTCATGTAGTCTCACTACATAATCAGCTTGTCTAAATTTTGATTCAACAGCTTCATGTAGGTTCAGAACATTTGACACTCATGGATGCTCTGTTTGGCAGTAGTTTTGCTAATGATCACGCCTTTAAGAGTTTTATTTATTTATTTAAATAATTTGTGTTCCTTCACATCTTTCACTAGCTGTTTCCTGTCTGGTTTTGCCTTCTTTAAGATGCACAGCCTCATCTTTGAATCTTAATACTGCTTCACCTGTGACTCATTTCCTATGTGACAGATCTGTCTAGTACACTGTCAACCTCATATCAGTTCCAATTCCTAGAGAGTGAACTTTTTACCTTCATTCTGGTTCTTTGTCTTACAAAGTGTTTTGTGACTGTGAGAGAATATGAGAATTCAGCTTTTTGTGGTAAGGCACATTTTTGGTACTCCTCAGCTACTCAAAATCTTAGCTCAGTTCAAAGCTAAAATACTTCAGTTGCTGAATGCTGATAGCGAAGTGAAGCAGGAATTGCATGCTTTCCGTAAATGTTGACTTGTATTTGATATGCAGTGAAAAGATCGTAGTGCTCTGGGGATGAGAGGCATCACCTCAGATAAGGGTACTAGGTTTCTGGAGATCAGTCAACATGGGGAAGGAGCGACTGTTAGTGCAGAATTAGCTGTAAGGTCTGGTCCTTTGGCTGCCTTGTGTTTCCAGTACCTATATCACACAGTCTCTTTATCAACAGCTCAATCTCAATATATCAAGCATATATTCTAAGCTGGCTCCCCCCAGTTGGCCTGGGACCTCTGCAGCATCTCTCTTTCTCTCCTATAGCAAACAGCAGGACCRGGCACACATGTCTTGGGAGAGAAGGGGGTTTCTTAAGAAATGGCTGCTTGTCCCTTGGATTTGCTGTTGCTCTGCTGCCCAGAGGCTGTGAGCTGAGCCGGCTTGGTCACAGCTGTTCTAAGTGAGGAGCTGGAGGAGGGAAGCAGACAAGCACTGTAACTATTCAACATGCTCAGGTCACTCCTTGGCTGCCTAGATGGGCCCTGTGTGAGGTACTGAGAGGGCTTGTGCACAGTATCCTGGGTCTGCTAACTTTCCCTTTTC